CTCCTGGCTTTGGATCAGCTCAATTCCAGCCATTGCAGTCATTTGGGGAGTGAATCTGTAGATGGGAGGGAGGGTCTTTCTCTGTCTCTCCTTCTCTCTGTAAATTTGCCTTTCCAAAAAAACAAATAAATCTTTTAGAGAAAAAAAAAAAGGAATTGATGAATTAAGGGTGAAGACTTGAAGGAGAAATGATTGCATCTGGGGTGGGGGTTCTGGTGGGAGGTCCTTGGGGTAATACTCTCAGGAGGCAGTTCCCGAGAGAATAGATTATTGAAAACACCAGCTGAGCCCAACTTCTCACTGTGTGGTCGCCCCCACAAAGACACTCCGCCATTGCTAGCTTCTACCAGATACCATGCTACTAAGGGACTACATGACGCTGAACTAGAACATCCAAGCTGTCAGCCTGGTTGTACTGTGAGCTCTGCCACGGAAGGCAAAGCCAGAAGCACCAGGGTGGGGAGGTTAAGGATGAGATAAGGCACAGGACCCCTCGTGTGGTGTCTGTGGGAAGAAGCCAGGGCCCACCAGCCTTCTCAGTGCTGGAGCCCCGATGGGCACCCACCCAGCTTGCCTTCACCGAAGCTTGGGGAACCCATCATAAAATACCGAGAGTTAGTGGAGGTGAACTACCCTCTCCTGGGGTCCTGACTTCCAAATCTTCCAATTCCACTACAGAGAACTCAGCCCTGCCTGCCACCTTCCTGCACTGTACACATGATGTCCACAGCCAGCTGGGCCTTGCACAGGTACATAGCCAGGTCCCAGACTGTGCCCTAGGACCCAGCAACTCCACACTTCCAGAAATGCATTTTGAAGCTACATGTGCTGACATGCCCAAAAATGCATGACTGGGGTTCATCACACATTCCTTTATCAGAAACTCACCAAGTGAGTGGTTGTCAAACCTAGCAGTTAAGTACCCCCTACAACTCCCATTGGAGTCCCTGGGCTCCTGACCCCAGCTTCCTACTAACACAGATCCAAGGCAGCCAGGATGGCTTCAGTAGACAAGGCCTGGCCACTCCCCTGGGAGAACTGGGCTGCCTTCCAAGTTATTCTGGCTTCTGCCTGGCCCAGCCCTGACTGTGCAGCTAAGTGGGGGAGTAAACCAGCAGGTGGGAGCACTCTCTGTCTCTCAAATCAATTATGTAATGGGTGAACAAATACGTTTCTTCAAGATTTACTTATTTTTATTGGAAAGGCAAATTTAAAGAGAGGAGAGACAGAAAGATCTTCCATCTGCTGGTTCACTTCCCAAATGGTCACAAAGGCCAGAGGTAAACAGGTCTGAAGTCAGGAGCCAGAAGCCTCCTCCGGGTCACCCATGTGGGTGCTGGGAACCAAGGATTTGGTCTATTTCCACTGCTTTCCGAGACCATAATCCAGGAGCTAGATGGAACGTGGAGCAGCAGGGACACAAAGCAGCACCCATATGGGATGCCAGCGTGTGCAAGGGAGCATAAGCCAATTGAGTCATCGCACCAGGCCTGAATAAACAATTTTAAAATCCTGAGGCCCATAAATTTGAAAGGCAAGATGAAATGACAAAAGTCAGAGTAACCCTTAGCAACCAGACAGGCAGCCCTACATGGTAAGAAAGAAGGCCCATTCCTGGCCTGTGGCAGTAGGTAAGAGTCAGGTTCCCTGGCCAACAGGGCCAACAGTCATCCCTGGCAGCCAGGACTCTGCCAGTCCCCCATGGCAGTGTGGCTCAGGGTGCTGGGCTCAGCTAATACAGCAGCCCTGGGCTCGGGCCGAGCCTTTATGGGTCCGTGGTCAGGGCGGGAGCCAGTGGGTGGAAGGTGGCTGAGGCTGGCCCTTTGTCAGCTTCCTGTCCATCTCTCTTTGTTCTGGCCCATTTGCAAACAGCTGCTCTAATTAGGGCTTCCTGGAGTGACCGCAGGGGCCTTGTAAAGTTGGTGGCTGTTTCCTGACACCTTAGACATCCCTACTGGCCTGGGACACTGGGTGCCGGCCACCTAGCACCCACACCCAGCCATGGTGTTTGTACGGAGTCACAGGGGCTGGGGAGGGTGGGGGGGACAGAAAGCAAGGTAGCATCCCTCCCCCTGCCCAGCCAGATGTGGCTCTGCTGCTCCAACTACACAAGTAAGGATCCAGGAAATATAAGAAGAGAGGGGGGCCATGCTGGCCTTCACACCGTGGCTTTGTGTCTCTGGGGTCCATGCAGCCACCGGCTCCTATCCTAACAGTTCCCCCAAGCCACGGTGTGGGTCTGCACTCAGCCCTACACCAAGGTCACTGAGTTGAGACAGATGAACCTGGTTGGGGGACAGAGATGAAGTGATGGGAACACTGGCAGAGGATGGTTTTCACGCATGACCCTGAACTTACACTATACCCGCAGCACACCCAGAACCTTCCAGAAAGGACTGAGACAAGAAGAAGCAGACACCGGCTCTTTCTGCGATGTCTGACATACGTCTGAACTGGCAAAGGTTTAGCAACAAGGACCAGCCCTCCCCATCCCCAACCCAGATCAGTCACTCAACCAATTAGCCACCCCCAAACTTCCCAGGTGTGTGGTAACTGCCCCCTCGCCACCCTGAAGTCCCTGTGCCACACCTGCGGCCCAGACAGGAGTGCAGAGACCCAGAAACTTAATGCAAAGTGCATGGTGGGTGGGGCTCTGCCACTGAATCCCCCAGTGGCACCTGCTGCACCCCTAAACTCCTACAGAAGATGGTCCTTCCACTGTCACCGAAGGTCCCACTGCAGGACACACCCCTCCCCACCCACAGAAGTCACCAGGGAGAGCAAAAGGTGAGGCTGCAGAGGGTGTGGAAAGGGCTATTTTTAGCCAGCGCTGGGTGGTGGTTGGGTCGGGCACCACACATCCAAGCGTCATCCCCACCACAGAGGCTCATAAAAGCCTATGCCCCCTAGTGTTGGCCAAGCTCAGTACCTCCTGGTGGGCTCCCTCAGTCCCGCCATTGAAGCTGTCACTCACCCTGGCCCAAAAAGGATGCACAGAGCTCAGCACCAGGAGCAGCCACAGGAGCACCCACCCCTCACACGTAGCAAGGGGGTCCGGGAAAGGAAGGAAGTGGTGCTGTTTCAGGACCCCGGTGGCTGCACCTCTGGACAATGCTCTCCGTTTTCACTGGTGGGCACACACATACCAAGTCTTTGTTGTGTGTGGCCCCAGGAACTTGCCATATTAGAGTACTAGTTGAAATTCTGCCTACCCCGCTACCAAGCTGGCTCCATTCTGATGTCCCTGGGAAAACAGCAGAAGATGGCTCAAGTTCTTGGGCCCTTGCAGCCACCTGGAAGACCCAGGTGGAGTTTCTAGCTCCTGGCTTCGGCCAGTTGGAGAGTGAACCAGCAGATCAAAGATTCTCTCTCTCTCCCTCCCTTCCATCACTCTGAGATTCAAATAAATTAATTAATCTTTATTTTTTAAGACCTTTGCTGAGATTCCCCTGCAGAAGCAGAAGCCAAAAGTACTACCCCTGCCCTCCTCCCCACCAGTACACAAGCCCTCAGCCTAGAAACCACAGGGCCTTCCCAACTCCTGCCCCTTCTCCTCCCCTCCGTCACTGGCCAAATGGCAGAGTGCCACCCCGCACCCACCCAGGTGCTTGCCATGCTTTCCTGCCTCCAACCTCCCCAGGTCTTTGAGGAGTTCCCAGGACCTAGCACCATTCAGCGCATCCACAGGCAGGCCTGGGTCAGTACTTCCTGGAGGGATGTGTGAGTGAACAGACACAGCCTATTCCCTAACTCAGAGCTGGACTGCTCTCAGTGCAACACTCCTCTCTCCCAGATCCCCCACCCTCCTCCAAGAAGCCTTCCCTGATTTCTAGGGTGTCTAGCCAACCATGACAGTCAGAAACGTGACAAGCAGCCCTGCCTCTGTCCTAAACTCGCTCACTCTGTTTTTCCTGATCCTAGCAAGTGTCCTACATGAGGAGTTGCCCCAGGCTAGAGATGGTGCTCTGTCCAGACAGACTCTGGAATAGAACAGAAGGAACTGGCTTTGGCACTGAGGAAGGGCACCTTACAGATAGGAAAGGCCATGGAAAATGTGGTCTGTAGTCCAAAGGTTTGCTGGAGCAGGCACCATGACACAGTGAGCTAAGCTTCTGCCTGTAACACCAACATCCTAAATGGGTGCCAGTTCATGTCCCAGCTGCCCCACTTCTCATCCAGCTCCTTGCTCATGGCCTGGGAAACAGCAGAGAATGGCTCAAATGCTTGGGTCCCTGCAACCATGTGGGAGACCCAGAAGAAGCCCCTGGCTCCTGGCTTCAGATCAGTACAGCTCTGACCATTGTGGCTATCTGGGGGAGTGAATCAGCAGGTGGAAAAAAATCTGTGTGTGTGTGTGTGTGTGTGTGTGTGTGTGTGTGTGTGTGTGTGTGTGTCCTCCTCTCTTTATAACTGCCTTTCAAATAAAAATAAATCTCAAAAGGTTTTGCACTAAATAAACCCATCCTGCTTCCCACTGGCCCATGAACTTCATGACAGGAAAAGTGAGATCATTCTGAAGAAGGAGCTGTGCTGGGCACAGCCCACTCCCTGAAAGGGACAGGTCACACATTTCTTCGCCCTGGAAGCAGGCTGGGGGTCCAGGGACCTCATCCCAGCTTCTAGAAGAAGGATCTGGAAACAGGCTCCACCCAGGTCACTGCCACTCAGAGCCTAGCATCTGACCCATGCCACCTGCAGCCCTTTTCTCACACCAATGCCCACGGGAGGGGCTGCACGAGGAGGAAGCTTGTAAAGGGCTTTGAAGATGAAACGGGGCTCGTGGCCAGCGATTGCTGACGCAGCCACACCGAGGATGCAAGCTAGGTTGCCGCTTAAGTGGCCGGGCTGATGCCAAGCCCATAAAATACAGCTCCTGCCTCTTTGCCACCTCTTTAACTGCCAGCGGCTCCCGGGGCATATAAGGGCCTGCTGCACAGCTCAGCGAGCACAAGCCCTCGGCTCCAGCCTCTGCCGCCTTCTCACTACAGTCCGGGCATCTCCCAACCATCACCATGACCTGTGGATCCTACTGCGGCCGCGCCTTCAGCTGCGCCTCGGCCTGCGGACCCCGGCCCGGACGCTGCTGCATCACCGCCGCCCCCTACCGCGGCATCTCCTGCTACCGCGGCCTCACCGGGGGCTTCGGCAGCCACAGCGTGTGCGGGGGCTTCCGCGCCGGCTCCTGTGGGCGCAGCTTCGGCTACCGCTCGGGCGGCGTGTGCGGGCCCAGCGCGCCCTGCATCACCACAGTGTCTGTCAATGAGAGCCTGCTGACGCCCCTCAACCTGGAGATCGACCCCAACGCGCAGTGCGTCAAGCACGAGGAGAAGGAGCAGATCAAGTGTCTCAACAGCAAGTTCGCTGCCTTCATCGACAAGGTCGGTGTCCTGGAGCGCGCCCTGCCTGCATTCCGACTGACATGGAGAACTTGGGCTGGGCACTGAATGAAGGGAGTTGGAAGGGGAGTGCTTGCCATGGAAACTCCTGGGGCCCAGGAGAAAGGAGGCAGTCAGAGAAATAAGAATAGAATCAGCGTCTGCCAGCATGGTGGTGGAAAAACTGGGCAGACTTCAGCAGGACCAAGGACAGAGCCTTTAGTGATGGGAGGTGGCACTGCCTTGTAATCAAGAGGCCACCAGGTGAATATGCAAGCCATCTGGAGCCAAATGGTTGCTTGTATAGCCAGGAGGAGCTCCTCCTGTCAAGAGCAGGGTTAGCAAGAGCGACCCTGGAAGTGGATCTCAAGGACAGCATACACTATTTCCATCCCATGGGTGCCTGGATCCCTGAGTAGGACCACAACAGCTTGTCCAAGCCATGGTGCCTGGAGCTGGAGATCTGGGGCAAGCAGTGGCCCAGCCCCTGTAGCAGAGGGTTGCGGGGAGGTTGGGGAAGCAGGCAGGGTGTGCAGTCTGGACTTGACTGAAACCATTTACCCAGACAGAATCCAGTTCAAGTCCACGGCCCCCTTCCTCCTACGGCAGGCTACCACCTTGCAGCAGGGGTGTGAGGGGAGCTGGAGACCAAGGGTCCTAGTTGGGAGCAACGCGGGAGCCAACCTCAAGAGGGACATCCCCCCAATCCCATTCAGGGAGGCAGAACCGAAAAAATTAAACAAAAGTGAGGAGATACTCTGGAGCTCCTAACAGCATGTGAGACTGAGGGTGACACGAGGAAGGACTTACCAGGGGTACAGCAAGGCTGTCTGACAGAGGTTTCCAAGTTGAGACCTGAGTTTACCTTGCAGTGGGAAGGAGACAGGTGTGAAATTCTCTCCAGAACTCAGCAGTCTGTGATTGAAACACAGCAGGGGGCCAGGGCAGGGCGGAAGCTCCCAGGGGAAGCCTTCAGCCTTCGGCTCTGCAGCTCTGAGCTCCAACCCGGCCTCCCACTTCTCAGGCATTGCTGACACTGCTGCTGCTAATTGTCCTGTTGTAGTAAGGCCTGGCCAATCAACACCTGCTTCACATGCCAACCTGTATGGTCAGCCTTCCCAAGGAGACCCCTGTGCATTTGCACACCCAGCTTGGTGCAATAGCAGGGCTTGGTGTGCCAAGGATGATTTGATCCTCATAGCAACATGAGCTGTGGCCTCTGCCTGATGCCCAGGGCTCAAATGCTCTGTCCAAGGGTGCAATGCCCTATGTGGAACAGCCAACACTTAGCACGGTTTGGAACTCCTTCAGGACACCTGGCGCAGTGCCTTAAAGCAGAAGAAAATGACTTGTCAAGAAGAATATCCAAATGGTGCCGTGATGAGTGACAAAGCTGTCACTCTGGAGGGCACTGGGTCAGAGAGTCAGGGAGCTTTCTGGTCCGGGAGCCAGGATCCCCATCCTTCTATGGTCCTCTGATTCTGCAAGGAGGGACTCAGGCTCTCTGTCTCTGGATGGCAGGTGCGCTTCCTGGAGCAGCAGAACAAGCTCCTGGAGACCAAATGGCAGTTCTACCAGAACCGCAAGTGCTGTGAGAGCAACCTGGAGCCTCTGTTTGAGGGCTACATCGAGACGCTGCGGCGGGAGGCCGAGTGTGTGGAGGCCGACAGTGGGCGGCTGTCCTCAGAGCTCAACCATGTGCAGGAGGTGCTGGAGGGCTACAAGAAGAAGTGAGTGTGGCCACGGGAGCTGACTGGGGAAGGACCTGGGAGCACGAGTCTGCCTGAGAGTGGGAAGGAACCCACACTCCCTGCCCTGCCCTTCCTCTAAGCAAAGGCTCCCAGTGGTGGGTGGATAGGGCTCTGGCTCTCTGGGGTGTGGATGCTCAGGGAGCAGGGCAATGATGCTGACACCTTGCTCAGAACTCATCCTCCCTGGCCCCTTGTGGTCCAGCCCTCAGCGGCTCAGATATGCTTCAGCTCACTCCTACATTCAGCCCAAACAGCCAGCTATCCAAGTTCGAGCAGATGTGGCTCCTCTCCTTGTAGAGTCTGCAGTGTGCTGGGGAAGGGTCCATGTGTCTGGACCCTCAGTTCCTAAATGAGGCACACAATGGGATTCAGCACCGCAGGCTCCCAAGACGCCAGCCTTGGGGATAAGGGAGAGCCGGCATCTTTCAGTGCCTCAGCCACAACATTGAGTCCACCACACACCCTCTCTCAGTCCCTGAGCTGGTCCTCCCACCCACAGGAGTAAGCTTAGGGCCACGAGGGAAAGACTCAGGGTGAAGTTGGGAGACAGAGAGGCTTCGGACAAAAAGGAAATGTGAGAGAAGCAGCCATCCCTGCCCCAACCATGCACATGCACACACAGCTTCGAGCTCCTCTCCTCTGTCACCTGCTACGCAGTGGCCCAGGGTGCCACAGGAGCAGGTGTTTCAATGCCCCCCACCACCCACATCCAGCTGGTTCCTCCCTGACCCTGTACGGATTCTCCAGCAGACAGGGGTTGGGATTCTGCCCAGATTCACAGCTGCTCAGAGGAGTGTCTGCTTTCCCTGCCCACTTCAGGTACGAAGAGGAAGTTGCCCTCCGGGCCACAGCAGAGAACGAGTTCGTGGCCCTGAAGAAGGTGAGTGCTGGCTCCAGCCTGTGCCAGGGTCCCTGATACATGCCAGCAGGCTCTCCAGGCTCCATCCCAAAGAGCTGGCCTCATCCTTCTCTTACCCCACATTTCCTCCTCTATAGGACGTGGACTGCGCCTACCTGCGCAGGTCAGACCTGGAGGCTAACGTGGAGGCCCTGACGGAGGAGATTGACTTCCTGAGACAGCTGTACGAGGAGGTAAGGTGCTCTCGGCCCCAAGTGGGCACTGATAGGACCCCTTGCCACCTTGCCCAGACAGAAGCCAGCATGGAAAACAGTTGAGTTTCTTTCCTAAAGTCAAGTCCTATCTGGGCAGAGTTACATAGATTTCATTCAACTGCTTCTACCCAGACATGAGAGGGGACTTCACATGACCTCCGGGGTGACAGGGAAGGGCGGTAAGGCATCCACCAATGAGGAGAATTTCATGTGACACAGTTGCCATTCTGCTTCCCCCACGCCCCCTGCAGGAGATCCGCGTCCTCCATGCCCACATCTCAGACACCTCGGTTGTGGTCAAGATGGACAACAGCCGGGACCTCAACATGGACTGCGTCATTGCTGAGATCAAGGCTCAGTATGACGACATTGCCACCCGCAGCCGGGCTGAGGCTGAGTCCTGGTACCGCAGCAAGGTGAGCAGCACAGGATGTGACAGTGGGAGTGACAAGGAGAAAGGCTGGGATTCTGGTCCCTGAGGAGGCTGATGGCCTTCAGCAGGGCAGGGCTGCTGTGCATGAGTGCACCTGCTGAGTGTGTGGGTGAGTGCACCTGCTGAGTGTGTGGGTGAGTGCACCTGCTGAGTGTGTGGGTGAGTGCACCTGCTGAGTGTGTGGGTGCACCTGCTGAGTGTGTGGGTGAGTGCACCTGCTGAGTGTGTGGGTGCACCTGCTGAGTGTGTGGGTGAGTGCACCTGCTGAGTGTGTGAATGCACCTGCTGAGTGTGTGGGTGAATGCACCTGCTGAACACTGTTCCCCCTGTGTCACCCTGGCAATGTGCTGAGCCTTGGGGACTCCTGCTCTTCCCCTCAGTGTGAGGAGATGAAGGCCACGGTGATCCGGCACGGGGAGACCCTGCGCCGCACCAAGGAGGAGATCAATGAGCTGAACCGCATGATCCAGAGGCTGACGGCCGAGGTGGAGAACGCCAAGTGCCAGGTATGGGAGCTTGGCCCAGCCTCAGTGTCGAAAGAGGAGGGCTAGGCTGAAATTCTGGAAAGTCAGGGAGATGGAGAATGCCAGTTGAGCCTTGATTCTCTTGGCCTCTCTCTCTGTGTGTGTGTGTGTGTGTGTGTGTGTGTGTGTGTGTGTGTGTGTGTGTGTGTGAAGTGAATAGGACAGAAGGGAGAGAAGCTGACTGGAGACATAACGCTCAAGGTTGACATCAAAGGACCCGATTGGATCTGGCTGAAATTTCAAGAAACTTAAATTCACCCTCTCCTCTCCAACGTCTCTCTGCTCCCCCAGAACACCAAGCTGGAGGCTGCTGTGACCCAGTCTGAGCAGCAGGGCGAGGCGGCCCTGAGCGACGCCCGCTGCAAGCTGGCAGGGCTGGAGGAGGCCCTGCAGAAGGCCAAGCAGGACATGGCCTGCCTGCTTAAGGAGTACCAGGAGGTGATGAACTCCAAGCTGGGCCTGGACATTGAGATTGCCACCTACCGCCGCCTGCTGGAGGGCGAGGAGCACAGGTGGGTCCCTACCCTCCTAACCCTGAACTGTAATGGCACAGTGCCCCCTCTTCCCCAAGTCACTTGCCACCTCTTCACATCCCATTATCAGTCCCAAAAACCAGCCCCACCATAAATCCATGGCTTTTAGGGTCCCAGAACCTAGAGGACCATGACTTGGGCACATCTGTTCTATTTCAAGGCCAGGGTCAACATGTGCACTGACATCCTACTAGGACCCTGACTCTGGGTTCAGAACATCCTCCAGTCAAGCCCCCAAGTCCCAAGATCCACATGCTGCCTGTTTTGCTGACCAAGCTCATCCTGGCCTTCTGTACCGAACTGGATTTTGCCTTGCCTACAGTTAAGCCTCTCCCATAGCTGGTCTGCCATGTGTGGCTGCACAGGCTGTAAACCGCACAATGCAACCAGAGGAGGGGCACACAGGGACTGTAACAGAACTCTTCCCCTCTGTTCACTAGACAACATATCCCCGTGTTGTGCTGGCACCCAGGGGACATCTGATGGTCTCGTACTAATTTCCTTCCTTTCCCGTTTGCCCACTCAGGCTGTGTGAAGGTGTTGGTGCTGTGAACGTCTGTGAGTATGGAGAGCTTTAGGTGGGGTAACACTAAGGCTTCCCTAGACAGATGCTGGAGAGGTGCTTCCTGTCCCGTGCCATCCCGCGGGACGTGGCTGAGGCTGCAGCAAGAGAGACCAGGTGCAGGGGTGGGGGAGGGCTCAGGGGGTGCTCAGTAGAACTCTCCCTCCCCAAGAACAGGTGAGGATACTGAGTCCCAGCATGAGGAAGGGTCTAGTTCAAGGCCACTGAACTCAGATCCATGCCTCCTTTCCCCACCTCCAGAACTTGAAGTGAAGGTCTTGGCAGGCAGCCTTCCCAGGAGTGCTGGAGCAGCCACTCCAAAGGAGGGGGGTGGGTGGAGTGTCCATCTTCCAGGCCCTGCTGACCCTGTCCTTGTTTTTGCAGGTGTCAGCAGCTCCCGGGGTGGGGTCGTATGCGGGGACCTGTGCGTGTCAGGCTCCCGGCCAGTGACAGGCAGCGTGTGCAGCGCCCCCTGCACCGGGAACGTGGCCGTGAGCACCGGCCTGTGCGCGCCCTGCGGCCAGCTCAACACCTCCTGCGGAGGCACTTCCTTCTGCCAGGGCAGGTGCTAGGTGGGCAGGAAGAGAGCCGGAGAAGCTGCTTATACCCACCCGCCACGTCGCTGCCCCCACACCAGCTGAGCACAGACGTGTGCCCGGGTTTTGCCCCCAAACTGTGTTCTGAGAATACATCCCCCCCCCCAACCTGGCTGGAGCCCACTTCCCATGTGGCGGTCTCCAGCCACTTCCCAGAGGAAAGGCAGACATATGGTGGCCCTGCCTCCCTTTGCTGGCCTCTACTCTCCCACTTTCCAATAAACTTGGGAACATGCATGTCGTGTGTCCATGTCTGTCTTTCTTTCTTTCTTTCTTTCTTTCTTTCTTTCTTTCTTTCTTTCTTTCTTTCTTTCTTTCTTTCTTTCTTTCTTTCTTTTATGTGGATCCATTCACTTGAAAGACAGAGCAAGAAAGAGAAATGGAAACTCACTAGACAGAGAAAGAGAAGATCTTTCACCTGTTGGTTTACTCCCCCAGAATAGTCTGGACCAAAGCAAAGCCAGGAGCCAGGAACCCCATCTTGGTCTCCCACCTGGGGAGCAGGGGCCGGAGGAATCAGGCCCTCCTCCACTGCTTTCAGGGAGCTGGACCGGAAGCAGAACAGCCAGCACTGAAACCAGTTCCTGACATGGTGGATGCCAGTGTCCCAAGCAGTGCTTCAACCCGCTGTACCCCAACAGCAGCCCTTGCCCTGCTTTTGCGGGGTGAGCTAGTGCCCACCCACTGCTGAGGACCAGGGTCACTGTGGTCTGTGCCCAACCTGGACACCTGTAGGGCTGACTGCCAACTGTGTCACCTGCCCTGGCTGGGGAGTGATCACCACTCTGTCAACCTCAGACATACCTCCCAGCCTGTGGGGGCTGGGGACTTGTGCCTCCAGAGGAGACCACAGGATGTGTTGGAAGACAGCGAGTGTGTGTGTGTGTGTCTGCACATACGTATGCATGCATGCGTGTGCATGTGTGTGGCTTTAGCCTCCTCCCACAGCCACCAGAAATGTCCAAAACCACCCACAGTGTGTCAGCCTGGACCCCACCTCCCACCACTGTCTAACCCACGTTGCCCACCAAACCAGGGGAGATGCAGCCCCGTCAGCACCTCTCCCGACCTGCCCTCACACACACTCGTCCTGCCAGTACCTGCAGCCTGCTGGGAACGAAGCATTGCGGGAGCAGGAGGAGGTAACACAGAGCTCTCCCCGTTGCTCCCACTCATGGCTCGGGGACCCCCTCCTCGAGGTCTGCCGCCCAGGGCACAGCCGGCTTCTGGGCCCTTCTCAACCGGCCCCTCAGGCTCTGCTCAGGAGTCAGAGCAGCCCCAGGAGGACAGAGTTAAGAAGCCCCTCGCCCACCTGTGGGGCGCAGGAACCTGGAGGGGTCCTTGTGTGTCCGCCTCCTCTGCAGCCCAGCTCTTCCCACGGGCACTATCTGTCTTCTTCCCTCACCTCTTCTATGACATTTCCCACCCATCGACAGGAACCCCTGGACGCCACAGTCCCTGGAGGCCCGATCCCAAACCCCCCTCAGCCCCTTCACCTCCTGTCCCTTCCACTTTCTGGCACTTTCTCCTCTCCCGCTCCCCAGGCAGCCTGACTGTCCCATGTCTCCAGAGAATAACAGGAGAACAGGTCCAAGGACCTTCTAGCTCCCGCTCAGGTCTCCCAGCAGTCCCTGGCCATGGTCAACATCCTCTCTGGCTCACGCCACAAGCTGGGCCTCCACATGAAAGGACTCTCCTCTCCCCCATTTCCCACACGACACTCACATGGCAGCCACTCGGAGAGTCTCCTCCTGTCTCCCCAGATTGAGTCCATCAGCATGGTTGCCCCCACCAGAATTTATGGCCTAACCAAGCATCTCCCTCCGATCAGTTAACCCCTATGTACCTTCTTCTCCCGCCTTCCCAGTGCCTCTCCCTGTTGTAAGCTTTTTGCATCCACTGGCAAGGCAGAGACAGAGCCCCAGCAGCTAACTCATTCTCACTTCCTAAATACACCCCGGCAACCATGGCCAGGCTGCAGCCCAAACCATGAGCTGGGAACTCCATGCAAGTCTCCCACGTGGGTACCAGGGACCCATCACTTGAGCCGCCACCTGCTGTCTATACTAGCAGGAAGGCCGAGTCAAGAGCCAGAGCAGGAAAGCATGTCAAGGCCCTCCTCTGTGTCTTAACGTCAGGACTGCATGCCTGCTCCCTAAATAGCTATTGAATGCACCTCTCCTACCCGTGACCCCCGTGCCCCTGGCAGTCCCATCTCGCCTAGAATTCCGGTCACTTCCTCTTCAACAGTCAGAACGAGTTCCACAAAACATGAACCTGACCTGCTCCCAAGACAAAGTCCAAACTTGTAAACACAGCACCCTTGGTCCCACATGCCTGGCTCAGACTGACACTTCACCCCTGGCCCCACTACCCACTCCTCCTGATCCCTGCTCCTTCCGTCCCTCACACCTGACACAGTGATGCTCTGAGCACCCATGCGGTGAGGAGCAGAAGCCGAGCCCCTTCAGGGCTGTTTTCTGTTCTGCGCGATACTCTGTAAGGTTAATCCTATCTTCCCCTCCTTAAGGAGGCTATCCTAGGGACCGGCAACCTTGGCACATCAGCACCCTGTCGCCTGGGAGGAGGCCAGGAAGGTTCCCAGCCCTCCCAAAGTGGCATGCCTTCCTTCCATCCTGCTACTGCCCATTCGGGGCAGCAAACCCACAACCCTAAACTCCACCTCTCCCCTACTGCTCCATTCCCATGAAGGAATGGGTAAGGCTAGCTGCAAAGAGCTCTAGGTCTGGGTACTAGGAAAAGATGAGAAGCCGGCCTGGGAGACCTTTAACCAGACAAAGTCAATTACTGTCTCGAAGATGAGAGCAGAAGCAGACGAGGGATGTGAGGGTGTCTATTCCCTCACTGTTGAACAAAGCCTGCGCCCATATGCACACTGGTCCCCACATAGGAACTTTACTCTGTAGGAGACAAGAACGGGGATGAAAAAGGAGTATATTCCTTGCCCCATATCAGCCCTGATATGCCTATAGCTATACAGTTCAGGCACACGGAACTGGCAAAATATACCAGGAACAGTAAGAGCAGCAGCAACAAATACCAGCTGTCGAGTGTCTATTTTTAATGCTTATTTATTTTTATTGAAAAGGTAGATCAGATCAACAGAGAGAAAGATCTTCCATCTGTTGGTTCACGCCCAAGTGGCCTCAATGACCAGAGCTGAGCCAATCCGAAGTCAGGAGTCAGGAGCTTCTTCTGGGTCTCCCACGTGGGTGCAGGGTCCCAAGGCTTTGGGCCGTCCTTGACTGCTTTCCCAGGCCACAGCAGGGAGCTGGATGGGAAGTGGAGCAGCTGGGACACAAACTAGTGCTCAAATGGCATCTGGGAGCTTGCAAGGTGATGATTTAGTCATTGAGCCATCGTGCCAGGTCCCGATACTGTATTTGCATATTGAGTCCTCCTGCTGCAGCAGTCTTCAGAAATAATCCCAACAATCCTGATCAGAGATACAGCCAACTTCCCCTCCCCCTGAATCTCGGCTGACTTTAAGACTGAGCACGCGCGCGCACACACACACACACACACACACACACACACACACAGTTATTCAAGTGAGAATCAGAGAGAGAGGCAGGGCGCCCCCTGCTGGTCCACCCGCCTCTTATACCCACAGTGGTGGAAGCCAGACTCTGCCAAAGCCACCAGCCAGAAACTAAATATGACTGCCCCTCCATCCCACATGACTGCAAACATCTAACCTATCAAGCCATCAACACTGGCTCGCGGGGTCTAGCAGGAAGCTAGAATTAAGAATAGAAGCTGCCCTTGAATCTGAGCGCTTGACCCTCATGCGAGACACAGTGTCTTACCTGCTAACCAAACACCTGCCACTTCCACCAGCGCGCGCACACACACACACACACACACACACACACAGTGCTCCAACCAACAGACCAATGTGCAGCAAGGCAGCTTGGGTGGAGGTATCTTACTCTTGATTCCAAGTTCTTACTCCCACAGAGATCAAATTTCAAAGGGCGGCAGGGAGTGTGCACACTGGCCAAGTGAGGACAGGATTCGTTGGAAAAGGAAAGGCAAACACCCACAGGAGCATGTGGGCAGAGAGGTGCTAAGGGAAGTTCTGAAGTGCCGGAGCGGGACCCTACCCCACCATCACTCTCCTCCATGCGATAGGGGGTGATGCCTTAATGGAGGCTACAAATGGGGTGATGTTTCAGTGTGTGTCAGGCTTTCTGGAATGTTCATGATGCCTCCACATGAATATTAACTTCTCCTCCTTCCTAGTCCCGGAGGAGACACAGGTACATTCTGGGAAGGTGAGAATGCTAAACTGACAGATAGACAGGTGCAGATGTAATGCAGTAATTCCAGCTCAGTTAACCCCTGCTTAATCCCATACCAGAAGCAATATTACGGGAATTCTGGAATATTGATCCCAGGTCATCAGAATACATGATCCCAGGTCATCAGAGAGCGGGCAGCCCAGAGAGAACAGACTCCTAAACACCATCTGTGCTGAGCCAGTCCCAGTGCCCAGATATCCCAGCATCCCATCTGAAACATGAGAACCACCCATCAATGGGCCCATTGTGATGGCGCAGTAGTTAAAGTCCTCGCCTTGCACGCCCAGGATCCCATATGGGTGCCGGTTCTAATCCCGGCAGCTCTACTTCCCATCCAGCTCCCTGCCTGTGGCCCGGGAAAGCAGTCAAGGACGGCCCAAAGCTTTGGGACCCTGCACCCTCGTGGGAGACCTGGAAGAGGCCTCTGGCTTCGGATCTGCATAGTATTGGCCGTTGCGCTCACTTGGGGAGTGAATCGTAGGACGGAAGATCTTCCTCTCTGTCTCTCCTCTCTGTATATCCGCCTTTCCAATAAAAAAATAAATCTTTAAAAAAAAAAAAGAACCACCCATCAAACATGAACAATGGTCTGGTTTTAAGCTGCTGGGCTTGGTGAGCTCACAAAGATGGGCAAAAGAGAAGTGGGGACCACTAGTGCCTAGGAGTAGGGGTGCTCCCTTAACAAAGGCTACAACCTGGACCCAACAGAACCTGAATGCGTTCAGGGAGTTCCTAAGGAAAGCTGGGCGAGCAGCAAGGAAATGAGCACA